CTTTAGAAATTAATGTAGTTGGTTTATACTTGATTTATCGTCATCGGCTTCTTTTCTTTACTATTCGCTTCTTCTTCTTCTTCTTCTTCTTCTTCTTCTTCTTCTTCTTCTTCTTCTTCTTCTTTTCTTCTTCTTCTTCTTCTTCTTCTTCTTCTTCTTCTTCTTCTTCTTCTTCTTCTTCTTCTTCTTCTTCTTCTTCTTCTTCTTCTTCTTTTCCTTCTTCTTCTTCTTCTTCTTCCTCTTCTTCCTTCTTCTTCTTCTTCTTCTTCTTCTTCTTCTTCTTCTTCTTCTTCTTCTTCTTCTTCTTCTTCTTCTTCTTCTTCTTCTTCTTCTTCTTCTTCTTCTCCTTTTTCTCCTTCTCCTCCTTTTTTACTTCATTCTCCTTCGTCTCCTTCTTCTCCTCCTTCTTCTTCTTCTTCTTCTTCTTCTTCTTCTTCTTCTTCTTCTTCTTCTTCTTCTTCTTCTTCTTCTTCTTCTTCTTCTTCTTCTTCTTCTTTTTTTTCTTCTGCTTCTTCTTCTAAACTTGAGGTACCCTCGCCTTCGCCAAGCCAACAGTTTGCTAAGATGACAAGCAGCGCCTTGAAACTATCTACATACATTTCTTTATACATTTCATATTATTTTTGATGTGCACTTGTTATTATTATATTTATGTCACCATTATTATGCTTTTAAACTAGAATAAGACCTCTTGTGCCCTCATTTGCCTGGAAGGGAAACAAATCAGCAAGTTCTTTACAGAACATCGCTCTCTTAACTGCACGCCTAAAAGTATCACTTTCGCTAGCCAGCTTTCCAACCCCATGTGCTTTCAATGCCAATGCATCATCAATATCCCATATCATTCTTCACGGAGGTCGACATCTGCCTCGCTTTCCATAACCTGCACCCTCCATTGCCGCCATTTTCCAAGCCGCCATGACGTTTGATGTGGCGAGAATAGTTCACATTTCGGAACAGGACGCTTTTTACGAGCCAGTTATCCTCGTATATGTTTTACTTAGCTGGTCTTTCCTATAAAAGCTTTTTAAATGGTAAGTGAAATTAAGAGATGCACATTTTATTTTAATGTGTACAGCGTACACTCTGCATGGCATCATATATAATAACCAGCAAATGCATTGATTGACACTCAAAGAAGTGGAAATATAGAAGGACCCACGATCATTCTATCTCTTTCACAATCATTCTAGTTCTTTCTATAAGTCCCGATAAATACATTGTCTGTTTGCTTATTATATATATATATATATATATATATATATATATATATATATATATATATATATAAAATACATACATACATATATATATATATATATATATCTTCTTCTTCGCGTTCACCAGCTGTACACTCTGGCGTAAAATTCTGGTTGTTCGTCCACTTCTGGACTGCAGTCCTGCTCCAGAACCTGAGTATTGCGTGTGCATCAGTTTTTCAGATCTGATTCAACTGAATGCAGACTGCTGGTTCCTTGCCTCTCAGGCAGATGCACTCCGACTTTAAAGGAAGCTTCCCAGTTAGCCGACTCTTACGACATGCTTTTGGGGAGGCAGTGGGTCTATTCTTGTTTTCCCCACAATAGGGCCCCGGAACCCACACGGGGATATATATATATATATATATATATATATATATATATATATATATATATATATATATATATATATATATATATATATATATACGTTTCTACGGCCTCAAATTTTCCCCCTCTTTTTCCTTATGTGAATTACTCTGCATGACGCTACTGCTAGTCTAACGAGAAGAAACTCCACAGAGGAGCACGTACAGCAGGGGTCTATCAATCATCAGTAGAAATGATCCCTCGTCAACAATTGTTTCGGCCCACGACAATTTCAGAGATTGGGCCCACTTGAGTTCATAAAGATAAGTCTTGATCTACTTCTGCTGCACGTATCACCGGATGTTCTCGGACAGGGATTCGACTTTACACTGTTTTTCCATACGATAGTGTTATACTGCGTCATGAGAAGGCATGAGACTCACAGCCTATGGCGATGGCGAGTGTGACTAGCCAGACCCACCCGTGTAAAAAAAAAAAGTCTTCTACAATGATAGTATGGCATTGTTATCAACATTTGTGTTTAATCCGTTTCTTTTCAAACGTTCAGCTCCCATCTTTTCTGCAATTATTTCTTCCTTTACTCTCATTCCCTTCCCAATATGCCCTTTTTCTATCTACTAAATTCTTACAATTCCCCGTGTGCAATGCTATCTTGAAACAGATCAACAATTAAAAAAAAAAAAAAAAATTAATCGCAAATTAGGAACAGCCTTAAAAAGGTGAATTTTTATGAAAAATATTCACATAAAACGATTTCAATTAAAAAAGAAAAGTATACATAAAGCTTGCATTATGGCAATTACATATTTACACATGACATTTAAGTTAACATATATAATCAACGGCTGAGAAAAACGCCTCAGAAAACAGCTGTTTGCTATTAATGCATTCTTGGTATGAATCCCGCACGTAATCTCATAGTGCCATCGCCCACTCTTCTCCCACGCCTCTCTGTTTTTAGCGAACGCTTGTTTATGTTTTGTGTGATCTCCAGTTTCACGTTGTGATATCCTGAAGCAGAGACGAAGAACATCACAAATGTTTATGCAGCAGAAAACAATGCATATTTTTGTTGGGTCACGCCTTGTTTATACTCTTTCTTTCTTACTTACTTACTTACTTACTTACTTACTTTCTTTCTTTCTTTCTTTCTTTCTTTCTTTCTTTCTTTCTTTCTTTCTTTCTTTCTTTCTTTCTTTCTTTCTTTCTTTCTTTCTTTCTTTCTTTCTTTCTTTCTTTCTTTCTTTCTTTCTTTCTTTCTTTCTTTCTTTCTTTCTTTCTTTCTTATCTTTCTTTCTTTCTTTCTTTCTTTCTTTCTTTCTTTCTTTCTTATTCTTTCTTTCTTTCTTCTTCTTTCTTTATTTCTTTCTTTCTTTCTTTCTTATTTTCTTTCTTTCTTTCTTTCTTTCTTTCTTTCTTTCTTTCTTTTTCTTTCTTTCTTTCTTTCTTTCTTTCTTTCTTTATTTCTTTCTTTCTTTCTTTATTTCTTTCTTTCTTTCTTTCTTTCTTTCTTTCTTTCTTTCTTTTTCTTTCTTTCTTTCTTTTCTTTCTTTCTTCTTTTCTTTCTTTCTTTCTTGTCTTTCTTTATTTCTTTCTTTCTTTCTTTCTTTCATTTAGTTCTTTCTTTATTTCTTTCTTTCTTTCTTTCTTTTCTTTCTTTCTTTCTTTCTTTCTTTCTTCTTTCTTTCTTTCTTTCTTTTCTTTCTTTCTTTCTTTCTTTCTTTCTTTTCTTTCTTTCTTTCTTTCTTTCTTCTTTCTTTCTTTCTTTCTTTCTTTCTTTCTTTCTTTCTTTCTTTCTTTCTTTCTTTATTTCTTTCTTTCTTTCTCTTTTCTTTCTTTTCTTTCTTTCTTTCTTTCTTTCTTTCTTTCTTTCTTTCTTTCTTTTCTTTCTTCTTTCTTTTTTCTTTCTTTCTTTCTTTCTTTCTTTCTTTCTTTCTTTCTTTCTTTCTTTCTTTCTTCGTCTTTCTTTCTTTCTTTTTCTTTCTTTTCTTTCTTTCTTTCTTTCTTTTCTTTCTTTTCTTTCTTTCTTTTCTTTCTTTCTTCTTTCTTTTTTCTTTCTTTCTTTCTTTCTTTTTTTCTTTCTTTCTTTCTTTCTTTCTTTCTTTCTTCCTTCTTTCTTTCTTCTTCTTTCTTTCTTTTCTTTCTGCTTCTTTTTCTTTCTTTTCTTCTTTCTTTCTTTCTTTCTTTTCTTTCTTTCTTTCTTTCTTTCTTTCTTTCTTTCTTCTTTCTTTCTTTCTTTCTTTTCTTCTTTCTTTCTTTCTTTCTTTCTTTCTTCTCTTTTCTTTCTTTCTTTCTTTCTCTTTTCTTTCTTTCTTCTTTCTTTCTTTTTCTTTCTTCTTTCTTTTCTTTCTTTCCTTTCTTTCTTTCTTTTCTTTCTTTCTTTCTTTCTTTCTTTCTTTCTTTCTTTCTTTCTTTCTTTCTTTCTCTCTTCACTTCTTCTTAATACCACTCTCTCTTTCTGATGTATATTGAGGCACGTTAATTCTTTTCGTTCTCACTCTTTCTATCTAATATATTTACTTACACTCTATCCAAAATCTATCCTTCCTCCAAAACTCTCTCTCTCTCTCTCTGCCTGATGAACTCAGTGCCATGCTTTACTTATATTTTCTTTTCTCTGCACGTTTGCAGCCTGTCTTTTTCTCTCCCGCACTCTGCCTCTGACATTCATACTGTCAACCAAATCACATTCTTCTCTCTCTCTCCCCCCCCCCCCTCTCTCTTTCTCTCTTCTATCTAGCTCTTTTGTATACGCAGTGGTACAACAATCTTATTTCTATATTTTTCTCACTTTCTCTCTTTTAGTCTCTTTAACGACGAAACACGCAGTAATTGCTTGCATCCATAGCCCAATAATCAGTATGGAAGCATAAAGTGATATGCCTGTGAACGTACTCTTCATATTATGTTCGTCTGCTTGTGTTGTCCTAACATCGCATCTGGTTTCAATAAAGCAACACAAACTCCCAGAAGCCTTAGAACCCCTAGACTACATCTGGAAACCACACAAAGTTGTGGGTTTATCCCACTTTCCAACATTAAACGATAATATTGCATTTGATGACCTATTTACCAGTTTCCGATCACAAAAATAATGGAAGCTTCAAACAGTGCGTCGATTCTAAATGTAATCGCTGTCTATAAAACACCCCCTACTTGTCGTTTGTGTTACTCCTGCTAGTCTTGCGGTCGCACCTCAAAGGCTGGAGGATTATTTACAATTGTGATATAACAGCAGACACATACAAGCAAACACTGTTGCATACACTGTAAACAGAACATATTTTTCTTAAGCCCTTGAGCGTACGAACTATGACCGCTTTGCATTTCGGGGAAGAAGGACTTAATATCCGATGTCTCAGAAGACCGTTATGCAAATCGAAAACGCCCCTTTATACATAATGATCTGTATCATCGATAACCCCTTCTGTATTTGCCGAAAAGAATTTTCTGGAAAGCACTTCGGAACTCGGGGCTGAAGATTGTATAGATGATTGGGTTCAGCAAACTGTTGAAGTAGCCCAGCCATAATACGAAACTTCGAGCAAAGAGTGGGATCTTTTCTGCATCATCAATAAATGGACCAATGACCGCAATGATGAAGAACGGTAACCAGCAGATAAGGAAGGCGCCAGTAATAATGGCGAGTGTGCGTGCCGCTTTGCGCTCTCGTTTCAGTTCCATTTTCTCTCGATTCCGAGAATAAGGTTGACTGAGATCTACTTTTTTACGGATTTTCTTGCCGTTATTGCATGGAGTTTCCAACATGGCAATACTTGACTCGTCGTTACAACCATTCGTGAAAGGATCTGGTTCTATCTGTTGCTTAAGTCTTTCATTGCTGGGCGAGTCGAGACCATTAGGTTCTGGGGATGCTTTCCTATTTCTGTTTTTCTTTCTTTCGGGTCTTGGTGAGCACCCGTAGCTTTTACATGGAGCTCTGCGCTTTTTGGTCTCTACCGTAGACTCCGGTGAGTTGCAGCCGTTGCAGTCGCTGACTTCACTGTATTCAGTTTTTGGAGAAGCCACCAGTGTAGTTTCCTCTGTTTTTAGTTTCGCTTTCGCTTTCGCCTTGGCATGTTGAAACTTGTCTTTGCGTATCCGAGACCTGGCCACCTGGTATATCCGAATGTATATAATCATCATTACTAGCATAGGGAGATAGAAGGCGCCCACGGTGGAGAATATTGTGTAGCCTTTGTCCTGTGAAATAATACATTTCCCCGTAATGTGAGCGTTATTGTTGGGGTCCCGCCAGCCGAACAGCGGTGGGATGGAGATAAAAAGGGCGACAATCCAGACGACCATGATCATTAGAAGAATGCGACGCGCACTTCGACGACGTATGTAGTCGATACTGGTGACAGCCCAGTACCGGTCCATTGCGATAGCCACCAGGTGGAGGATTGATGCCGTGCAACAGAGGACATCCACAGAGATCCACATTTCACAGACTTCCTGGTGCAGGAACCAAACCTGAGATTGACGAGAAAAACACAAGACATGTTTAGTAATATACTTGGAGAAACACAGTCGTTTCTTAACACTAATGTTCTAATCGAATTCAGGGGGAAAAAATTGAAATAAAAAAAAAATATATATAACTGAAACATTTAAAGCTATCGACTGTACCTGAAGTGAGTACGAAAAAAAGTATCTTGGAAGTACCGATAGTCGCCCTGACGTTGATTGCTTTATCCAGCTAATGCTCATTGATCTATAAACAGAACGGACCAGCACGAAATGTCCTATGCTACCCAAGGAGTACATTTGGTTTCGTTCTTTTCTTCTACAACCTTTTCATTCTTAAATAATCACTACGTTAATACTTTCTATTCAAAAGTTTGCACTTTGAAATAACAATATTTGAATCCAAGTGTGTAAAAAAAAAAAAGTATTATTATGAAAAAAAAAATGAGTTCAAGAAACAACTGGAATTGATTTAATTACGACACAGCGAAATGTGGGATAAGAAGAACGGAAACGTGCTATCTCGCTTGATTTCGGGAATCCACATGTCAACACAAGCATTATTTACAGTTGCATATCCTTCATAAGATGTTGCAGAACAAAGACCATCAGCATAATTTCTTTGACTGTTTGTGATTTTCCTGGGCAAATTTACGTCCAGTAGTTTGCCATTGCATACCGAACGGTCAGCCGTCGATACCACGGTTGAAACCAACAGAAAGCAGCGGGCTCATATAAGAGAATGGATAACTTTATTTTGAAATCTCTATTGTGTTATGTTAGATGTAAATTAACAGAGCCTCACAAAGTTTATTTCTAGCTTGGTTTTGCTAGGCGTCTAAATGTGTCGCCGCTCAGATACTGAGCTGAGTGCTTGGTGGGACACTATGAGCTGTGGGTTTGATTTAAAAAAGGGTTTATTTTTCCTGTTACGCCTGCAGCGTGTTGATTGCACTAAATGTCTGGTAGCCGCTTCCTTTCAAAACTGACGTGCACTTTTGTAATTGCAATGCCAGATTTCGCGACTAAATATTGAAGCAACAGTGAGTTACACTAAAAGCCTACTAAAGGCTCGGCTTGAAGGGTATGTGATCCACTCAGAGATGAATAACAAATGAGACAGGCAGATAAGTACTTAGTTAGGTAGATAGTAAAGTAAGTAAATTAGGTAGGTAGATTATATAGACAGACTGGCAGGCTGACCGAAAGATAGACAGACAGAGAGACAGGCAGATAAGTACGTAGTTAGGTAGATAGTAAAGTAAGTAAATTAGGTAGGTAGATTATATAGACAGACTGGCAGGCTGACCGAAAGATAGACAGACAGAGAGACAGGCAGATAACTACTTAGTTAGGTAGATAGTAAAGTAAGTAAATTAGGTAGGTAGATTATATAGACAGACTGGCAGGCTGACCGAAAGATAGACAGACAGAGAGACAGGCAGATAAGTACTTAGTTTAGGTAGATAGTAAAGTAAGTAAATTAGGTAGGTAGATTATATAGACAGACTGGCAGGCTGACCGAAAGATAGACAGACAGAGAGACAGGCAGATAAGTACTTAGTTAGGTAGATAGTAAAGTAAGTAAATTAGGTAGGTAAATTATATAGACAGACTTGCAGGCTGACCGAAAGATAGACAGACAGAGAGACAGGCAGATAAGTACTTAGTTAGGTAGATAGTAAAGTAAGTAAATTAGGTAGGTAGATTATATAGACAGACTGGCAGGCTGACCGAAAGATAGACAGACAGAGAGACAGGCAGACAGATATACAGACAGGTAGATAGATACACATATTCATGATGCATACACATATGTGTCCAATAGTACACAACACACAAGTGTAAATCAAAGACCATTTCACAATTAATGAAGAAAGAAATGTTGGCATTTGAGCTGTAATCTCTGGGGGAAATTCCTAGAATATTGCGAATCAATAATAGGAAAAAATCAACATTTGTCATGCTCTGAACGAGACAAGGAAATGACTCATAAAAGGCGTCATATTTCAGCAACTGGAATACTTTAGCCATGTTACAATGCCACAGGGGTTTAGAAAGAACAGTAATGGAATGCATTGATGCCATGCCTTTAAGCAGGCGCTCATGGTTCGTCGTCCTACACTGTCACCGAAATCAAAGATCGGGTCAGTGCTATTTTACTGTCCAGTTCATATGATGAAGCTATCGGCGTATTTATCTGTTGGGATCTTTTCCCTTCCAGAAACGATCTTTGCTCTCAGGTTAATCTAGCCTAAAATGTGTACCCGGTAATGGCATGGGAAGTAAAGAAGGCCGGCGTGATGTTAATCACATCACCAATCGAATGCCGGCTATCATAGAAAAAAAAAAGAATTAAACATCATATTTCCTATGGGTCACTAGTGGGAACTTACTTACCATTTACGTCATGTAGCTATAGGCTAATTTTTTTTTTCGACGATTCTAATTCAAATATCTGCAAAGCATGTTGCGACACATCTTAAGTCACACACAGGGACAGTGTTTATGTTTCTGGCGGTACACAGTATCTTTTTAGCGCTACTGTAATAGAAACTTGTTTCTGTAGCACAGCTAATGAGCTGCGATACTGTGAGCTGTGAATTTCACATGGAATGTGTTTCTTTTTAATAATGTTGTTCCACGGCGGTTTTGTGTTGTTGTCTGCAGAAAAAAAAAAGGGTAGGTGGCAAATAAAGTTCAGAATGGCAAATACATTTGCTGAAGCAATGCTGGCTGTTGTAATTAACGACTGTGAGTTACAGTTGTGGCTTTGGGACCGTTAGTATTGGCGCATCTGTCAGCTGCCTTATGTATTTTTACGCTGCGTGTGCAAGCTTTAAGTTGTGGAAACGGGCATGGCTTTTATTAGTTTTCCACACACACAAAATAGTAAAGGATCTTTTGTGTGATTGTCACTTGTATTGGAACAGATCAGTTATGGGATAACCCGTCTGCAGAGATGCTGGAATCTTGAACAACGATTAACTTTTATATAAACTATGACAAAAACTATGATAAACAACTGTAATAGAAACTATGATAAATAGTAATCTTTAGACTCACGCATCACATTTAATCTGACTACGTGTAGTATATTATAATAAAATACCATTCGCGAAAATAAAATGATAATTAACAGCTTGTTACCTTCTAGATCAGGGCTATTCAACTGGCGGCCCTTCGGCCAAAACTGACCCGCTGAGGTCTAGCAGGTGGCACGCGGATCACTACCAGTCGCATTGAATTAATGATTTTTCAATGCTAGTGCTTAGGCCACTGGCCTTGACTCTCCACTTTCGAAAGTTTGGCCCCTGAGTAAACTTATTTGAATAGCCCTGTCCCAGATGCTACCTAAAAGTTTACCGCCATGAAATTCTTTCAAAAATGTCAATGTCGTGGAATGATAAGCCATTGCGCATCACCCTAACAGAGTCGAGACCTGTCTTACCTGGGCTCGACACAACATTCAAACTTGGACTCGTCCGGAAAGGTATATAGTCCCTTATATCAATATATGCCTTTATCGGACATAATTATGATATCTACATCTTCTAGTTGCTTTGACTTAGCGTCATTTTAAAATTTGCAACTATTGGATAAATATTACTGGAGTTATTTGAGGTTTCTTAGAAACCGATTTACTCATGGCTCCTGTATACAAGGAACTACTTCTTACCAACGCCTGAATTGAAATTTAGCGGTATTATTCTGCCGGCTTTCCTGGAACTCAGACGTGTCCATCGACGCCAGTACATTTCATTTTAAAAAGGCGGTCTGTGGCGCCTAGGACTTTTCCTATGCTTGGGTAAGTTAATTATAGAGTACGAGTATCTAAAATGAGGTCTGTTAAAGTGGTCACTGCTGTAGAGAGATTAGTATCGGCTGTGGGATCACAGAATTACCAAAGACAGTCGAATCATCAGGAGCTGAGGGAAGCATCAACAATAGAAAGAGGATAAGTGCCAGTTTAATGCCATGTTTTGCTATATTCCTCACAGTTCCCATGTTTCCCGAGGATGATATGTGTTATCTCAAGATCATTCTGGCTGTTTGGTTGTCTTTGTAATCTAGACTTTGTATTCTGGAATCCAGCTATTGAGATCTGGCATCTACTTCACTATTATATATATGTATATGTTGTATTGATTACATGCATTCATTTTCATGGCTGACTTAGGTGTCTCTATTTCACCTTTTTAAGTGTGTAGCATTTGTGTGTGTATGAATCTTAAATATATGTGTTAACATGGTTATGATAATGAACTATCATAACCTGGGGGCTTTCTTTAATAAGTAGTGGGGGTGTCCAGCCAAGTGTGCCTAGGAATATTGTATTCATATACAGATATATTTTGTAGTGCCAATACTTGAGTTGCCCTACTCCAGAAATAAGTTGAGCGTATATTGGCCACGGGGAATCCCTTAGACCAATACGAGCCAAACGACTCAACATAATTATTTCTGAGTGCTGTTGGTTCTGAAAGAGAAATCCTTTTTTCAGGCACGTGACAGGAGTGATATGTGACAGTCAACATGTATGGCAGACTAACAGGGCATATCCTAAATACACTGTTCAGCCTCTTTAAAAATTTATAACTGTGGCAGCCCGGTTGGTTATACTTCTTCTTCTAAAAGTCCATGCTGTGTGGCGTTGGTAGTCATGTCTATCGACAACCTTCTGTCACTTGTACTTTCAATCAACTCTGACACTGATGATCCTCCAAAAGATGATGTCAAACTGTCCAGCTCATAATGTACTCCAGTTTTCTCCTTCTCGTCACATGACCAAAGAATGTAGATTTTCTCTTTCTGATGTGGGCAATCAGTTCTCTTCGTGAGTCAGTTTCTCTCAGGACACCCTCATTACTCTTTTTATATGTCCAGGGTATTCTCATCATTCGTCTATAAAACCACATCTTTGCAGCTTCCAAATAAGTTTTTACTCATTTACCAACTGTCCATGGTTCACTTCCGTATACCAAGAGTGCATTTTATGGCTTTTT